AGATACAAGGAGTTATTTTAATCTTTAATTTTTATTTATTTATTTGTTTGTTTGTCTATTTATTTCTTTTTTAACTATTGAGGTTTGCTTTGTTACCAAGTATGTGGTCAATTTTAGAGAAGTTTCTAAGAAGAAAAGGCATATTCTTTTGTGTTTGGGTGAAATGTTCTATAGCTGTCTGTTAGGTTCAATTGAGTCATAACTTCTGTTCTTTTATTTCTCTGTTAAGTTTCTGTCTGGTTGACCTGTCTGTCCAGTGGTGAGAGTGGTGTGTTGAAGTCTCCCACTATTAGTGTGTGTGGTTTGATATGTGATTTAAGCTTTAGTAATGTTTCTTTTACAAATGTGGGGGCATAGATTTTAGAATCGAAACTTCTTGATAGGTTTTTCCTGCGACAAGTATGGAATGTCTTTTGGTTACTTTTAGTTTGAAATCTATTTTGTTTGATTTTAGAATAGCTACACCAACTTGTTTCTTAGGTCCATTTGATTGGAAAATCTTTTCCCAACCCTTTACTCTGAGGTAATATATCTGTTTTTGAGGTTGAAGAGTGTTTCTTGTATGCAGCAGTAGGATGGATTCTGTTTTTGTATCTATTCTGTAAGTTTGTGTCTTTATAGGTGAATTGAAGCCATTGATATTAATTGATATTAATGAGCACTGATTACTAGTTTCTGTTCTTTTTGTTTTTGTTGTTGGTTGTAGTATTGTGTGCTCATATCCCTTTTTTGGGATTTGCTGGTATGGGATTATCTTTTACCTGTGATTTTGTGGGTATAGTTGACTTCCTTGAGTTAAAGTTTTCCTTCTAGTATTTTCTGTAGTGCTGAATTTGTGGATAGGTATTGTTTAAATCTGATTTTGTCATGGAATGTTTTATTTTTTCTGTTTATGTTGATTGATAGCTTTGCTGGGTATAGTAGTCTGGTCTGGCATCTGTGATTTGTTAGTGTCTGTATAGGACCTTTTGGTTTTCATTGGTTCCATTGAAAAGTTGGATATAATTCTGATAGGTCTGCCTTTGTGTGTAACTTGGCCTTTTTCCTTTGCAGCTCTTAATTTCTTTGTTTTTTTTTTTTATTGGTTTATGATGAGCTCTGCATTTTTCTCTGTTCCCCCCGCCTCTCCCCTCCCCATGAACCCTCCCCCAAGATACCTACATTCTCAATTTACTCAGGAGACCTGTAGATGGAGCGGCAATGGAACGGCGGGCTGTGTTCCCGCCCAGCTCCCCACACGGCTAGCTTTACCAAAAATAATTACACGGAAACTGTATTCTTTTAAACACTGCTTGGCCCATTAGCTCTAGCCTCTTACTGGCTAACTTTCACATCTTGATTAACCCATTTCTAATATTCTGTGTAGCACCACGAAGTGGTGGCTTACCAGGAAAGTTCTTAACCTGCGTCCATCTTGGAGAGGAGAGCTATAGCATCTGCCTAAGGCATCTGCCTCACTGCCTTCTTCCCAGCATTCTGTTCTGTCTACTCTGCCTATCTAAATTCTGCCCTATCAGGGCAAGTAGTTTTCTTTATTAATTAATCAATGAAACAACAGATAGATAGAAGACCCACCTACATCATTTCCCTCTTTTCTGTTTAAAAAAAGGAAAGGCTTTCACTTTAACATAGCAAAATTACATATAACAAAACAGTTATCAAGCAAGAATTACAGTTACATTATTTATATCTACTTTATCTTTTATCATAACTAAGGAAAACTATAACTAACCATTCTTCAACTCCATCAAAGACTTTGGAAGAATATAATATTACCTAAGCAAACAAGAAAGCAACTTCCAAAACTCTAGAAATGACAGAGACATCTCGCTGCCTGTACAGTCATCCAAAGTTCTTTTGTACCATTGGGGCATCAATCTTTAGCCTACAGGCCCATAGTATCCAGTAGATATTTCCATGAAGCAGGAAATTCCAAAGGCAGTTTAGTCAGTTCCTGCTGTGTGGGCATGTTGTGTAGTCATTTTCATTGTATTTTACTAAGTCTTTAATTTTTCCTTTTATTTCTTCCTTGACCCTTTGATTATTCAAGTGAGCATTTTTTAATTTCCATGTTTGTGGGCTTTCTGGAATTAGTATTGCTGTTGACTTCTAGTTTTAAGCCCTGTTGATCCGATAAGATACATGGGGTTATTCCAATTTTTAGTGTTGTTGAGGTTTGTTTGGTTTCCGAGTATGTGGTCAGTTTGAGAAGGTATATTCTTTTCTGTTTGGATGGAATATTCTATAGATGTCTGTTAAGTCCATTTGAGTCATAACATGTTAGTTCTCTTATTTCTCTGTTTACTTTTTGTCTGACTGACCTTGTCCAGTGGTGAGAGGGGAGTGTTGAAGTCTTCCATTATTAGTGTGTGGGGTTTAATGTATGATTGAATCTTTAGAAGTGTTTCTTTGACATATGAGGGTGCCCTTGTATTTGGGGCATAGATGTTCAGTATTGAAATTTCCTCTTGTAGGATTTTTCCTGTGACTAATATGAAATGACCTTCTTTGTCTCTTTTGATTAATTTTAGCTTGAAGTCTATTTTGTTAGATATTAGGATAGCTACACCGTCTTGTTTCTTAGGTCCATTTGATTGGAATATTTTTTCCCAACCCTTTACTCTGAGGCGATGTCTGTCTTTGAGTTTGAGATTTGTTTCTTGTATGCAGAAGGATGGATTCTGTTTTTGTATCCAGTCTGTTAGCCTGTCCCTTCTAGTATTTTGTGTAGGGCTGGGTTTGTGGCTAGGTATTGGTTAAATCTGTAAAATGATGAGCAGCAGGCTGTGTCCTGCCGCCCGGCTAGCTTGGCCCCGAAATAATTACACAGAAATTGTATTCATTTAAACAGTTCCTGGCCCATTATTTCTAGCCTCTTACTGGCTAACTCTCCCGTATTTGTTTAACCCATTTCTAATAGTCTGTATATCACCACGAGGTCGAGGCTTACCGGGAAAGATTAACCTATGGCTGTCTCGGGCCAGAGCTTCATGGCGTCTGCCTGACTCTGCTCTTCTTCCCAGTATCCAGTTCTGTCTTTCCCGCCTACCTAAGTTTCTGCCCTATCTAAAGGCCAAGGCAGTCTCTTTATTCAACCAATGAAAGCAACACATCCTACACCATTTCCCCTTTTCTGTTTAAACAAAAAAGAAAGGCTTTCACTTTAACATAGTAAAATTACATATAACAAAACAGTTATCAAGCAAGAATTACACCGTTTAAGTGTTTCATGGCAGGTCCTTTGAAGGTCCAGATTCACGTATGCACCCTCTCTGGTCTCTGGTTCTGGCTTACTGGCTCAGAGGTTACTCCCTGTACCAGTTCCTTTGGAGTTCGCTGTCTCAGGCTGTCTCAGGTCTGCTCTGGACCAGGTTGCTGGCTCAGTCCTGGTCTGCCATTGTCCCGGGACTGGATTGGCTCCTGGCTCCCACTTCTAGATAGCTGGTTCAGTCCTCTTTCTTTATTCTGTATGTTTAGTGTTTGATTATTAATGTGACAAGAGGACTTTTTTTTTTGGTGTTAGTCTATTCTGTTTTCTATAAACTTCTTGTGCTTTTATAGGTATTTCTTTTTCTAGGAAAGTTTTCTTCTATGATTTTGTGCAGTATTTTTTCTGTGCCTTTTGAGCTGGTCTTCTCCCTGTTTTATTCCTATTATTCTTAGGTTCAGTCTTTTCCTGGTGTTCCATATATATATATATATCCTGGATATATATATCCTGGATATTTTGTGTTAAGAGTTTGTTGTATTTAACATTTTCTTTGATGAATCCATTTCCTCTATAGTATCTTCAACACCTGAGATTCTCTCTTCCATATGTTGTATTCTGTTGATGCTTGCAGCTGTCGATCCTGATCTTTTACCCAGATTTCCCATTTCCAGAATTCCCTCGGTTTATGTTTTCTTTATTGCCCCTATTTTAGCATTTAAATCTTGAATCATTTCCTTCAACTGATTATTTTTTGATTGGTTTTCTTTAAGGGATTGTTGTTTTCTTCCATTCTTTTTGTCTTTTCCTCCATTTTTTTTTAAAAAGGAATTTTCTTTCCTCTTTAAGGGCCTCAGTCACCTTCATAAAGTTATTTTTAGGTTTTCTGCTTCATTTGAATTGGGATGTTCAGTTCTTGCTGTTGTAGATCCACTTGTTTCTTAGTGTATTCTTACACTGTTGTCTACCTACCTCTTCTTCCAATTGGTACTGGTAGAGCCTATGCTTCAGGGATTCCCTCTTCCCCCAATTGGTGGCTGTGATTTGCTTGATTGCTACTCCGGGTTCAGGCAGGGCAGAGTGTCCAGGTCACTCCTCCAGGTGCAAGTGGGGCCAGAGCTCTGGCGGTTGCTCCTCTAGCTGTGATGCAGCAGGGTAGCTGTTTCTCTATCAGGCTGCTGTGGCGCTCTCTTTGTTTGACCTCTGATGCTGATTCACAGCTGTGGGTTGCCAATGCTGTTTCAGGTTCAAGTTTAATAAAGGAAAATAGGCTGGTCAGGTCAATATAGAAATTTAATGTGAAGCATATAGATTACCTAGTCAAGTTAATGGAGCAGAAAGAAACGGGAAATTGGTGTTAATATATTTTATTTGGTCCTTCACATAAAAATACTGTCATTTTAGTGTGTGTGTGTGTGTGTGTGTATGTGTGTGTGTGTGTATGTGTGTTGGGCTTTTTGGTGTTTTGAGATAGGGACTCATTATGTAGCCCTTGCTGTCCTATGTAGACCAGGATGGCCTTGAACTAACAAATCCGGCTGCCTCTGCCTCCTGAGTGCTGGGATTAAAGATCCAGTAAACTGTTTTAAATTTAGCATTGATACTAATGGTAACTGATACTAAGATGGTAACTTTTTGCAATATAATGAACAACTAACTTTAGGCATATCTGTGAGAATTACTCCAATTATGAAGTATTGCTACAAAAACATTTTTAGTAGTCAGAATTTGCTGGAAATGTATTAGAATAAATCCCAGAGACTGACTTAAAAATGTTGGCATATGTGTTCAGAATTTCAGCTTATGTTCGGTATCTAAGGTGGAGAAGAACTCATTAGAAGACATTGCTGCTTCAACTCTTCCCAGTCAAGCAAAGATTGATGGAGACAGAAAATTTCCAGGTAATACTTTGACATTTTTTATTTGTATTTTACAATATTAAATGGTCTATTTATTACTGTTAAGGCAGAGGCAGGCGGATCTCTGTGAGTTCGAGACCAGCCTGGTCTACAGAGTTAGTGCCAGGAAAGGCTCCAAAGACACAGAGAAACCCTGTCTCAACCTCCCCCCCCCCCAAAAAAAGAGAAAATATTTATGTGAAATAGGTCTGTTAACCATTGTTATGGTTTCTGTTTTGGTGTTTGGCTGGCTTCTAACTCAGAGATCCACCTGCCTCTGCCTCCTGAGTCCTGGAACTACCGTGACCACCCTGCTTTCTTAGTGTAGTTTTGAAATTGTGGTTATCGTTAATTCTTTCAGGGGAATTGCTTCTATTGGGGGAGTACTTAAATGGCTCTCTTTTGTGTGCCTACTTAATGTTCTTTTGTTTCGGTAGCTCCTTTCTTAAATTCTGTAGAGAAGGACTCCTTAATGAATTGCTTAAGTTGAGGGTATATGCTTATTTCTCAGATTTTATCTATTTGTGCTTTACCCTTGTGGGTTTTTCTATTTAACCCTCAGTACTCAGTGAGTCTGTCTTTGAATTAAAAGTTAATCTATGTTTCATATTTTCCACTTACACTGTACAAAAAGCTCTATTTTATTTTATTTCATTTCATTTTTTCAGAGACAGGGTTTCTCTGGGTTTTTCTGGCTGTCCTGGAACTCAATCTGTAGACGAGGCTGGCTTTGAACTCACAGATCTGCCTGACTCTGCCTCCCACGTGTTAGGATGAAAGGTGTGCACCCCCCCCTCCCCCGCACAAAAGCTTTCTAACCTTACGCAGGAGTTCCAATAATCTGTGAACTGTTGGATAGATGTTTACTCATCTATGTCAAATGAAGCAACAGAGGATCTAGAGCTCTAATTGTATTATTTCCTCTAAAGAAAAATTAGACTTGGAGCATGGTGTTGGTCAGCTGCTGCTGAGTGCCCGCATTTCACTCAGTAGTGGAAGAATGAGTATAGTACATGAGAATTCCATTTACTGAAAAATAATGTGCCTTAATTGAGTTTAATTATTTCTATAGTTAACATTCTAAAAAATAAAATTTTACCTGGCGGTGATGGCACACACCCTTTAATCTCAGCCCTTGGGAGACAGAGGCAGATGGATCTCTGTGAGTTCTGTTCCTACGGATAGGCTCCAAAGCTACACAAAGAAACCCCGTCTCAAAAAACCCAAAAACTATAACAAAACAAAAAACTCCCCAAAATTTAAATAAAATGTTTTTATTTCTGTTTAGATTTTAGTCATGTAGCCATTGAGCAAATTTCTTAATATTTGTTAATGATTAATGGAATTTAGGGATAAAGGGAGGCCAGTTGTGGTGGGGCACACCTGTAATCCCAGCTCACAGAGGCAGGTAGATCTCTGAGTTCAAGGCCAGTCTGGTCTACAGGAGTGAATTCCCAGGACAGCCAGGGCTCTGTAGAGAAACCCTGTCTTGAAAAAGTAGCAACAACAACAACAAAAATCCACCAAAAAACAAAAAAGAACTAAATCTATTAGACCCCTTTGCATTCTCCTTAGTCTGACTTTATAGTGTAAAGCTTTCTGCCTCAGTTTGAAAGGTGATTTCCAAAAGGGTGGTTTTAATTTTATTAGTTGTTTATTTTAAATTTTATTTTGAGATTATAATTATGTCATTTTTTCCATTTCCTTTCTCCAACCCTCCTATATACTCCTCCATGCTCTTTTTCACATCCATGGCTTCTTTTATTAACGTCATAGGGCAGGAGAGACTATTCAACAGTTAAGAGCACTGGCTCTTCTTAGAGAACCCAGGTTCAATTTCCAGCACCCACAAGTGGCTCAGAACTATCTGTAATTCAGTCCCAGAGAACATGATGCTCTCTTCTGGCCTCTGAGGGTCTAGACATTGATGCAGGCATTAAATACTCACTTATTCATTTTAAAAATAAGTTCACTGTACGTTTCATGTACTTTATTAACTCACAGGCTCAGCTCCTAAGCAGCCCCACAGTGTACTCGGTAATGAAGCGTCCATCAACAGCAAGCACAGGTAAGGCATCACTTTCATTTAAGAAATTGTACTTGAGAGTTCTTAGATTTGTTATTTAGCAACCCAACCCTAGTAATCATAATTTACTCACATTTTCCATTTTGTTGCTGTTGAAAATTTTTCTTTTTCTTCCTTCTTTTCCACACCCCCACCATGCTCCTTTCTCTGTGTAGCCTTGGTTGTCCTGTTTAGACCAGGCTGACCTTGAACTCAGAGTTCTACCTTCCTTTGCCTCTTTGCTGGGTTTAAAGGTATTCCAGTGTCCTTGAACTTTTTCTGTGCCTATTCAAGTAGAAACCTTTTTAAAAAGTTCTTTTTGTTTTGTTTTGCTTTTTTGTTTTTTCAAGACAGGGTTTCTCTGTCTTGGAACTAGCTTTGTAGACCAGGCTGGCTTCGAACTCACAGAAATCTACCTGACTGTCTCCAGAGTGCTGGGATTAAAGTCATGTGCCATCACTGTCAAGTTTAAAAAATTCTTTTAAAGCTAATGTGTTCTGAGCATATTACTTTCCTACCTCTAAATTTTGTTTTGATTTCCTTGTGAGCGCATTTCTTGTTTTCTTCAGTAGCTATTTAATCGACATTCTGCTTGTTGGTAGCTTTTTTTCTGTTAAACAGTAGTGACAGATTATTAAGTAAGTGAAGACATAAGTTTTGCCCACTTGCGTGAGTATATATGTGGCATGACTTCCCAGCTCATCTCTTTTCACAGTTGTTCTGATGTATGCTGCCAGCAGTAGTAAGAGTTGTTTCCCTTCACTCTTTGAAACACTGGATGGTATAGATGTGTGAGAGTGCCTTAAGGAAAGGAAAGGCCTCTCTCTTTAATGCCAGTGGTGAGTCTGACTTACTTGCCTGACCACCAAATAGTCTTTAGGTGCCTAAAACTACAAAACCTAAGACATTCAAGCAACAGTAGACCCCGCAGTTTTGTTTCTTGATAATTAGTAGCTTTCTTTTCCTTTTGAGCATTTTTTTTGTTTTGTTTTTTTTTTTTTTTTGTTTTTGAAGACAGGGTTTCTCTCTGTAGCTCTGGCTGTCCTGGCCTCGAACTTACACAGATCCTGGCTTTGACTTAAAAGTTTATAATTGACGTAATAATGCATGCTTATGAGATACACTGTGCTCTTTCAATATAGGTATCTCGTACAATGATTGAATGAGAGTAACTAGCATAGTCACCACCTCAAACATGTCATTTCTCTGTGTAGGAAGCAATGACAGTCCATTCAGAGCTATTTTGAAAGACACAGTTGCCGTATGTGCTATGAATATTAGAAGTTATTTCTTCTTTTCAGCTGCAGCCGCTCCAATCTGACAACAGTCTCCCTTTTCACTTCCTAGCTTTGGCAACTTACTATTTTTTGAGGTTAACCTTTACCTTCCAAATATGAGATTTTACAGTTATTTACTTTCTACCCTTGATAATTTCATGTAACACAATATCCTCCAGGCATATATGTGTGGCTGCAAATGCCAGGATTTCTTTCTTTTTTCTCTTTTCCCCCACTTCTTTTTGGTTTTGAACTTTTAATGAGGAAAAAAAAAATATACACGAGTTCAAAATCATTGTGTTCTATGTGCCATTGGAGGAGATCTGGGTCAGATGTTATGGCATAAGTAGTTAACAGATTGTATCACCATAGATACAGTCACACAATGCCAGCATGGGTGCTAGCAAGGTTATTTTTTGGGTTTCCTCTGTCAGTCAGAAGCATTTTGGGGATCCCATGCCTGATGGGGGAAAGACGACCAGACTCTGGGCACTGCAGCGTGCCCTCCAGCACTCCACCTCAAGCAACACATCTCATCATGCTCCTTGCTCTCAAGTGGCTCTTTGGGTACCTGGGTTTGATGTGTCTGCTGCCTGAACAAGCTGCCTACCAGCACAAGATGCCGCCTACCTCTGCCTCCTGTGTGCTCACTTTGATTTTTAAAAGGTTATCTTTTTTCCTCCTTGAAATTGAAATTTTTTTGTTAGAAATGAGTTCTTGTCTTTAATGATTGACATTATATAGATATATAATATCTAATAATTTTTTTAAAGAGATATACCATCAAATCATTCTCAGCTAAAGTATAATTCTCATTTGGAGATAACCATTCCAAAGGCCTTGAGACTGAAAGAATCCGAGAAAGTGGATGAAAAACAGCTGATCATAGTAAGTATACAACTTACCTATTACTATTACCAATAAGTGTGGTTGTAAATGAATTATTCTTTTTTTTTTTTTTTCTTCTACTCCCACCCCCCCAAGCAGACAGGGTTTCCCTTTGCAGTCCTGGCTGTCCTGGAACTTGCTTTGTAGACCAGGCTGGCCTCAAATTTAGAGATCTGCCTTCCTCTGCCTCATGAGTGCTGGGATTAAAGAGTGTACAACAATCCGGTACAATGTTCTTAAAGTACAAATTAATTCTTTCTTGATCATTATAATTTTTATTATAGAAAGCATTTCTGGTGTTATTATAATCTCCCTCTTCCCATAATAATAATATGAGTAGCTTGAGCACTACCTCCTCCCAGAAGTTTATTTAAATATTAAAATGACTTGGAACTTAGTACAAATAACTGTTTGTATAACATGTCCATACAGTGCCAAAGGATAGTAGAAACTTGGCTGTCCGTTGGTAGATGAATGTATAATCACAGTGGTTACTTATCAGCCTTAAGAGAGATTCCTACACCTGTGCAGCACGGATGAGCCTTGAGGGCCATATGTTGTGTGAAGTAAGTCAGTCATGAAAAAGACTATGGGATTTTACTCACCGAGGTGCCAAGAAAGAAGGATGGCCACTGCTAGAGATTTGAAGGGATGGGAGAATAGGAAGTTACTGTCCAATGGATGTAGAGCTTAGTTTTGCAATGAAAAAAGTTTGAGAGATTGTATAACAGTGTGAATTAAACAGGTACTACCAGCTAGGTGGTGGAGGCACATGCCTTAATCATAGCACTTAGGAGGCAGAGGCAAGTGGATCTCTTGAGTTCGAGGACAGCCTAGTCTACAAAGCAAGTTTGAGGACAGCCAGGGTTAACTTCCCCCACCCCCTTCTTATTTATTTGTGTATTTTCCTTTTCCTTTTTTGGTTTATGAGACAGGGTTTTTCTGTAGCTTTGGATCCTGTCCTGGAACTAGCTCTTGTAGACCAGGCTGGTCTTGAACTCACAGAAATCTGCCTACCTCTGCCTCCCGAGTGCTTGGATTAAAGGTGTGCACCACCGTGGCCCGGCTAGTTGCTTTTTTTTTTTCCAAGACAGGGTTTCTGTGTGTAACTTTACAGCCTCTCCTGGAACTTGCTCTGTAGACCAGATCTACCTGCCCCTTCCTCCCAAGTATTGGGATTAAAGGTGTGCACCATTACCGCTGGGCAACAGCCAAGGCTACACAGAGAAACCCTGCCCCAAAAAACCAACCCCTCCCAAAAAATTTTAAGTTAAGTTTTAGTGTGTGTGTGTGTGTGTGTGTGTGTGTGTGTGCAGGTGCTTGAGCATGCACATATCTGTGCCATAGTGCCTCAATAGAGGTCAGAAGACATCTGCTGGGAATTGGTTTTCTTCTTCCATGTGGGTCCCGGTAGAGGGCAATAATGCATTATTTTTGCTAGTTTGTAATTATTTTAAATATGAAATATAAATTAGCTTTCCTGTATAGATTTTTTATTATATGGTACCTTTGGACTAAGTTTATATTGATACATATTTTCTCAGTTCTTTTAAATGTAGTAAACTCTTGAACAAGTCCATAGGTTTTTAAAATGGACTGTGTGTTGCAGGTATGAGCCTGTGTGTGAGGGACAGATTCTGGAAGGTGTTTAGTCACTCTCTCCTTAGTGTTTGAGACAGGGTCTTTCACTGAGCATGGAGCTCATCAATTCAGCGAGGCTCCCTGACCAGCAAACTCAAGGGCTGGGATTTGAGACTTGTATCAGTGTACTAGCTGTTTAGATAAAAATTTTAATTTAGTATAACTATGATCGGGGGGAGATGCTCTTGTGTCCATGTGGAAGTTAGAGCACAGATTTACTGCACACAGATTTTAGACTTCCATATCTTAATTTAAATGTTGCTTTTATAAATTAAGCAATTCTTGTTTTATGTTCACATAGTTTTTTTTTTTTTTTTTTTTTTTTGGTTTTTCGAGACAGGGTTTCTCTGTGGCTTTGGAGCCTGTCGTCCTGGAACTAGCTCTGTAGACCAGGCTGGTCTCGAACTCACAGAGATCCGCCTGCCTCCGCCTCCCGAGTGCTGGGATGTTCACATAGTTTTGGAGACTGTGTTCAGAAATAGTTACTTTGGCAAGGAAGAAAACATTGTTTGTTTTTTATAAATAGGATGCTGGACACAAAAGGTTTGGAGCAGTGTCCTGTAATATCTGTGGAATGCTTTATACAGCTTCAAATCCAGAAGATGAAACCCAGCACCTACTTTTTCACAACCAGTTTATAAGTGCTGTGAAGTATGTGGTAAGTAGACTTTGTGAATTAAAGCATACATTGCAGGTAATTAGGTTAGACTTTTAGTGAAATGAATTGCCAAATTTAAGTTGTTGAAGTTTTTTTTTGTTCTTAGAGATCAATAATATATACAAAGTATGCATGACATGCATGGATATTGATTTCCTTTAAAACAAAACCAAATAAAAATCCAGGGAATTTTCCGAACAGGTTGCTACTGTGGGAATTTTAACTTAGGTTATGTTTTTCAGTGTAATTGGTTTTCAAAAAGTTATTGTAACTTTCTGACTGTATTAATTAGCTTGTGCATAGATCTTTTTTTTTCTTTTTTCTTTTTCTTTTTTTTTTTTTTTTTTTGAGACAGGGTTTCTCTGTAGCTTTGGAGCCTATCCTGGTACTAGCTCTTATAGACCAGGCTGGCCTCGAACTCTGAAAGATATGCCTGCCTCTGTGTCCTGAGTGCTGGGATTAAAGGCATGTGCCACCACTGCCCGGCTGTACATAGTTCTTAAAACTTTCCTTTGACTTTAATAATTACTGTGGATCAATCTATAATAAATGTTCATGTATCTTATTGAAATCTGTATTTGGAGATTATAGTGTATATCTTGTGAAATAGGTGGTTTGGGGACTCTTTCCTGTTATTAGAGTTTGTCTTTACAAAGTTAAATGTAAATTATATTTGAGTACAAAATCATAAATGCATTTAAGGCATAATAGGTTTGTTTAATATTTGCTTCTGGAAAGAGCAAATTTGTTCACAGTTTTGATCAATTCAGCCATTTGTAAAGTTATAATTTAGTATAATTTGTTTACCTGTAATTGAGATTTTTTTTTTAATTCTATACTTTACCTTATGTACTGTACATTGACATTAATAAGACCTCCAGGATATCTGAACTGAGCTTACTAGTTCATTTCATTAGGTAATAGGTACTGGATCACTTAAAGGTCTTAATAGTCTCCTGTGTAAATTCATGTACTTGGCTTTCGTTCAGTGGTTTATGTTCATTCCTTCATGGTTGAACCTTTTATCATTTTTCCAGTGTTACTGCTACCCAGGCTATGTGAGACCTTCTTTTTTGGTTCCCTACTCTGCTTATCCTTTATAATTCCTTATTTCATATGTATGTGTATGCATGGATATAGGCTATAATTGGATGGTTTATCTTTTGCAGTTTAGGCCTTTCTAAATTGGCTCTTAACATTCTTTGCTGTTGTTTTGTTTTGTTTTTTCAAGACAGGGTTTTTCTGTGTTGGCTATCCTCCTCATTCATTATGGAAGGCTGGCCTCAAACTCACAGAGATCCTCCTGCCTCTGCCTACTGAGTGCTGGGATTAAAGGTGTGCACCACAACAATTTGGCTGTTAACATCTGTACATCTAGAAAAGAAACTGGTGCTGTTAGCTATCTAATTACAGAGTGAACCAGATACAAGTCCTTTGTATTTAATCTCATGTTCATTTAGTTTCTTTCTTTTCCTTCCTTCCTTCCTTCCTTCCTTCCTTCCTTCCTCCCTCCCTCCCTCCCTCCCTCCCTCCCTCCCTCCCTCCCTCCCTCCCCTTTTTGAAACAGGGTTTTTCTGTTTACCTCTGCCTAACCTAGAACTCAGGTGAGCCTGTTTCTGACTCCTGGGTGCTGGTATTAAAGCATGTGCCACCACTGTCTAGCTCATTTAGCTTCTTAAAAATATAAAAAAAAAAAACTACTCTATTTAAAGGTTTAACTTTAAGAAAATTCTTGATTTCTGAGAGGAACAGAAAAAAATTCATCCAAGAAATAGGTACTCTGCTTTCTCAAAGTTCTGGGAGAAGATGCTTTAGAGTACAAAGTGTAGTCATCACCTGCACCAGTCCTGGGTGTCTTGTAATGCTTCAGCGTACTGTAGTAACCTGGGTCCAGCCTTTGTCACTCCTCCTCAGATGGATCGAACACTAGGGAGTACAGCTAGTGATTGTTTTATTTTGAGATAAGTGCAACGGAACAAATTGAATTTAGCAGTTGGTCATATTGATGTCATTAAGTTTTGCTGTTTTGAAATGCGGTGGTGGCGCATGCCTTTAATCCCAGCACTTGAGAGGCAGAGGCAGGTGGATCTCTGAAGGCATAAGTCACAAACAATGCCACACCAGTTTGGAGTTATGATTAATAGGGCCTTATTTATTTAAAGGGGAAAAAACTTACAGATCACCGTCCCAGACAAAGCCATCTTCACAACCAGGAAGGGAGTCTAGTCTCCGGCGGAGCAGGAAGTGAAGAGAGAGAGCAGCGGAAGTAGCCCCCTTTTTAAAGGGAGAGAGACCACGCCCAATGGGCTGGTATCACAGCAGCTATTGGTTGGAGGGGCAGAAGGACCTCCCATAACACCTCCCCCTTTTGTTTAAGTAAGAGAGTTCTAAACCTACTGCGAAATTATATACAATAAGTACAAATATCCTATTCTAACTAGCTTAGGTCTTGTATAATAAATAACTTGGCCAAGTCGTGAGAGAAAAGTAACTACATTTATATAGTCTTCAACCCCATCGAAGATCTGAGAAGG